ATTTTGGGACCAAGTTGTCAAGGGACCATCCGTTCGCGTAAAATCGTGAACCAACGACGGGCGCTCCCTACTCTGCTTGCGCCATGTTTGAGTCAGAGGCTATGCTGATTTCCTGCTTGCGACAACCGCATACGCTGCCGCGTGCCATGTGCCACCCTTTGTGTCAAGGGGCCCTGGCCTCCAACTTGAGTAGCCGTAGTTCGCATCGCCCTCCAACGTATTGGCCCACTGCCTTCGCAGAAATCACCCATGTCGTTCCTGCAGCCTCTCATACTCGTAGTCGGTCCCGCAGCCATATTCGCATTCTTTGCGCTTGCAGTTTGATCCCGGTACAGGCTGAAGCCAGCCCTGCTCCCGCCTAAAGATTTGGTGCACTTTGTTCTCTGGGGATTTTCGCAGTGCAACCCTAGAAACACTTTACATTTTTCAGCTACTTTCTTTGGGCACTTGTGCATATAAGATTTCCGCAGTGTAGCTTCAGATGTCCGAAATTGCAGTCAATTTGTTGAATCTGCTTTGGAAGAGTTTGACGGAGTGGATTTATGTGTTTTTTGTTTTAGTTTATTTTTTTCTCTCGTTCAGTGATGTGTATTTGAGAAACGTCATATTGAGCAGTGTTTGATGTCAATTTGGCAAAGTACACATACTACTGGGCAAGTGTCCTAAGGGCCATACACGTAGTGCAGGCTTGAGTTCCGTTACTTGGCGGTTCAAGCGGCCGAGTCTCTGGGACAAGTGTCCCTGAAGACAGGGACGCTCTTGAGGGATTGTTTGAGTCAGGGCCCAAGAGTCTGCAAGCGCGAGTGCGCTGAAATTGCGTTCGTCCCCTTCTATTGTTTTTTTTTCTGGGTTGTAAGCGCGTGTTTTTACAGGTAGGCTCGAGTGAGCCCAAAGTTGAGCTCACGTGAGCTTGGAACTCAAATGTTTGAGTTAAGTGCAGTCGTGTGACTGGGTGGTGAAGTGGCCTTTGAACATGAGGTGAGAAGCGGAAGCAAGTCGGAACCTGTGTTTACCTCTCACGAGTGTGAGTTAGGTTCAAAGAGGAAGAAGCAAGCAAGGAAAACAAATTTTATTGGTTTGTGTTCTTCTTTTCGCCCGGCTGAGATCGAGCATTGACGTGTACACTTGCATATAGTCGACCTTACCGTGTGGGACAGGTGTCGAGTCGATGTCTTGGTTTAAGAGCCTTACTACTACTTTTGTGAACACCACCTTCGATGTTTGGGAACATTTGTGACAACATTCGCGACTTGTCAGGATCCCACGACGTGACTGAGAAGAGCCGGAACCAGCCAGACCTGTGGCCAGTTTGGCGCAGACTGTACACGGCATTGGACGGTGAGACACTGCAAACTTTAAGTTCGACTATGATAATTATATAGATGCTTTGCATTAGTCCCAGTTAGTCTCCCCTCATTAGTAAAACAGTCTAAGTTCATCGAGAACGAGCATCAAGCCGAGACAAAAGAGGCTAAACTTTCAATGTGACGCTGTGAAGTCACGAAGCACAGAGGCAAGATGCTACTTGTTTTTTCTTCTTTTGACTCACTCATTGTGAGCTGGCTCCAATTAGCGCGCGGGCATGGACATTGACTCAGATTCGATTTGTTCCGAAGACCTGAAAAGACCTTTGCCTCGCCACATTGACGTGGATCAGTGTGGGGCGGGCGATGACAGAGCCGCGAGTTTGAATTTTCCAGAGAATGAAGCCGAATGGAATATGTTTTTGAATGCTCCCAACGAACTCGAAGGAGGACAGGACGATGTCGCAGGGCAGTGTGAAACTGCCGTGTCTGATGAGGAGTGCACAGGGCTAGACGTGACGCAAATTCAGGAGCTAGAAGGACCAATGAAAGAGAAACTCAATCAAACCGTGTTTGACAGTCAGTTCCACTCAGAGCCAGGGAGTGAGCTGAAGCTGCCTTGGGAGGCAGGAATATTTGCAGAGATTTTTGGGGGCCCCAATTCGCAGGACACCGTTCCCAAACCTTTGATATCGGCTTCTGCAGAGGACTTGGAGACCAGGTTCCGTCAGCGTGACCTGCAACAAACCATAGGTCAGCCAAAGAAAGGTTCCTTTTTTGAGGGTGATCAAGTTTCACGAAGTCGAGGAGGAAGCTTTGGCAGAAGAAAGGCGATTGAACCGTCTCTATGAGAAGTGGACCATTCTGGCGTCGATCAGTTCGTCCTGTCTGCCAGAAAGTTTCGCCAACTTAGCCGAGGACACCAAGGAGGGCGTTGCTACACTCAAACTTTTCTTAGGATCGAAGAGCGTCGCCACGCTTGAGAAAAGAGTCGCGTCGTTGCTTAGATTCAGCAGTTGGGCGCGCAAAGAGAAGAAACAATCAGATATTTTTCCTGCATCCCCTCTGGACATTGAGAACTACTTTTCTTTCTTGACAACGTGTGAGGCAGCTCCTTCTGCCTACACAAGTTTTGAGGAAGCAGTGAACTTTTGCAAGCATCACCTTCACATGAGGCTTGTTTCTGAAACCGAGGAAGGAATAGTGACTTTGAAAGGCAGAAGGTTGCTGGAAAGCTCCCTGGGCCAGAGAAAGGAGTTAAGGCAGGCACGCCCGTTGACAGTCACAGAGATCAAGCGCTTGGAACAGATGCTGAGCGATGAGGGCGTCTCGCTGACTGAACGATACTTTGTCGGTGTTGTTCTGTTTTGCATCTACTCTAGGTCCAGGTGGAGCGATGTTCGCAAAGTGTACAACGCAGTATGCGATATCCCGCAGGTTGCGCGGGCAACCAGTCATGGCTTCTTGGAGTGCCGAACTCGGTCTCACAAGACGGCTCATCTGGTACGAAAGAAAGGGCTAGTTATGCCACTAGTGGCACCAGTCCTGGGACTTGAAACCCCTCCTTGGGGCGTGAAATTTCTGGACGTGGCCAAGGAAACCGGATTAGCTTTCGTCGATCGGCCTGAAGGGCCCTTGATGCCCGCGCCCGACAAGAGTGGCGCCTGGACACAGAGAGCAGTCAGAAGCTCAGAGTGTTCAAAGTGGATTCAGGTGTTGCTTGACGAGGACCCGAAGGAGACGCGACGGCCAACGTCGCATTCTTTGAAGGCCACAACACTCAGCTGGTGTGCAAAGTTTGGCATCGAGCCACACAGTCGCCTGATACTCGGCCACCACAGCACGAACTCCAGATCTGCTGACATTTATGCCAGGGAGCTCTTGGCTTCCCCGTTGAGGGAGTACGAAAACATGCTTCAACATGTTCGGCAGGGAACTTTTTGCCCAGACAACACCAGATCCGGTATGGTGGCAGAGCAGGAGAACGAAGGCAAGATCAACAACGACGCCTCTGAGAGCATCGCGACAAAGCCTGAGGCTCCAATCGCGGTGGAGGAGGAGGATCACAGGGTTGAACCCACAGACTTTAGCCCAGCCAGGTTGCTGGATGACCAATCTAGCGAATCTAGCGAATCGAGTTCCGATGCCTCCATGTCTGACCAAGAGCTGGCCGATTTCCAGCCTGAGCACGGAGCTATCAACAGTGAGCCTGATGTCCAACTTTTTCAACACCATAGGACTAAAGTCGTGCACAAGAAAGCTTTAGGCACAATTCGCAACCGCTTTCATTGCGGTATAGTCCACACATCCGATTTTCGTGAGATCAGTGAGAGTTTGTTTTTGCAGAGTCGGAAATGTCTTCGCTGCGAAACAGTTCGACCAATCAGAGATTATGGCGCTTTGGCGGCAGTGCTGAAGCGGCAGCGCACTCAGGCTTGACAAATGTCGGCGCCAAGTCTCTTTGATCTGTGTGACACTCGCGGAACTGCACGAACAGGAAGAGCCACTGAAAGATTTCGGTTTTTCAGAGACTATTCCTGCGCTTGGCGTTGATTCTGTTTGACTTAGTTGTATACATGTTTTGCTAGCAGCTCGAGAAGTTTGGCAAAGCTCCCAAGGTGCCAGCCATGTCCACCTTCCTCGAATCAACCGAAGCCTTGAAGACACGATGTTTGGAGGTACATTTGACTGAGGCTGAAATTCAGGCTCTCATCGACAACAACCTCACCAGTCTAGCGCGGTTGGCCTTTGTCTTGGGCCCGCCAGAAACCACAGCGACTGATGACCAGATTCGTGGCCTCTTTGGGGACAGCGTGACTCCAAACATCGGAACCATCGCTTCAACCAAACGACTCATTTTTGAAGCGCAAACCATGGTCGTTGGGGAGCTCAAGAACAAGATCCAGAAGAAAGAAGAAATACTCCCGACGACCATGGCAGTTGCCGAGCGCGACACCCGAATTACAGCTCAGAGAAAAAGGTTGGGCGGCCTCCTTTTCAAAGGGGCGGAAGAAAACGCCCACGCATCGTATGACCTTGTGTTGCAGATGCTTGAAAAGGATGCGCTCCTGTATCTCGGGCCAGAAAAGTTTCAGACCCGTCGCTTCGAACTTCAACAGAAAAAAACCATCCAAAGAGCTGTCGTTGGACAACGGGTCTCTGACTTTGAAAGAAAAAAAAGTCCGACATGATCTGCCCAACCAAGACAGAGCTTGAGATTGTCCAGGCTTTTCGCCGCCGTGCTCTGGCCTTTGACCTGGTGGGCGCATGTGAATACAATGTCATGAACCAGTACCAGTCCGAGCTGGTCCAACACCTCCAAGAGTCAGCCCCGCCGGGGTACAACGAAGTCACAGTACAACAGGTGCTGAGGGCCGATCGCGCAGCGTTTTTGCTGTTAGCCGAGCGCCTGACCACCCTGAAGCCGAAGCCTGACGGGACTAAGCCGCTTGAAGAAGCCTTGCCCACAGTTCTGTCGCATCCCAGTGTGAGCTTCCATTTGCTTCCACTGGCCAAGCAGCCCGATCGTCCTCCAAAGGACAGCAAGTGGCTGAAGCGTTCCCAGACCAGCCTTGCCACGCAAGAGAGCCCCAACAAGTTTTTGAAGGTGAAAGGCAAGGGCAAAGGAAAAGGGAAAGGAAAACGTGACAAAGGAAGGGGGCCCAACGTTCCCAAAGACCTCATCGGCAAGGCTTTGGAAACCAGCGATGGAGACAGAATTTGTTGGCCCTTCAACATGTCTTCCGGTTGTAAAGATGCCGCAGTTGGCAACGCTTGCTCCCGAGGCCTGCACGTCTGTGCTGAGCCCGGATGCGGCAAAGCGCATAGTCTCTTGCAGCACAAGTGAGATTTTTTGACCGGCGTGCTTGCAAAGCTTCGCGGCAAACATGTGCAGCAATTTTTCTGCATCGAAGTTTTTGCAGGCACAGGGAGACTCACCGCAGTTCTTCGCCAGTTTGGGATGAATGAAAGCTTTGGAGTTGACTGCCAGACTCCAGCCCGCTTGACAAGTCCCTTAATTAGACTAGATTTGACCGATCCAATCCAAGTGAAGCATTTGGAAACCTTGATGTCCGATCCTTTTTGCATCTTCTGCCATTTTGCGCCACCCTGCGGTACCGCCTCGCGGGCCCGCTTGATCCAACGGAAAGGCAGGTTCAACCCGCCGGTGCTACGCACCGATCAGCACCCCGACGGCCTGCCTACCCTCACGGGTATTGACGCAGACCGAGTTCGCCAAGCCAATCTTTTGTATCGTGTCACCTGTCAGCTTGCCACCTTTTGCTACCGCAACCACATTCTTTTCTCCATTGAAAACCCGGGCCGTTCGTTCATGTGGCAAACGACATGCTTTCAAGAATTCTTGCAGCAGATCCCCGTCGCAACAACTCAGTTTCACCACTGTTGTTATGGCAGCGCAAGACGCAAACTCACCTCCTTGGTCCACATGGTCCCCAGTTTTTCCGCCTTACAAGCATTTTGCCAAGGTGATCACGACCATGAGCCGTGGGGCCAATGCGCCATGGCCCCCAATGGATGGGCAACTTCCCACGAGACCGCCTATCCTTGGGCCTTGTGTCGGTCGCTGGCCTTTGCGTTAAGTGACTGGCTGCAGCAACAAGGTTTGATTTTCCCGCCTTTGTGTTTCGCACAGCAAGAAGCCAGTTTGCAAACTTTGAGAGCAGCCACTGGCACACAATCCCGCAAGCCCCTGCCACCTCTGGTGCCTGAGTTCGCAGCCATCCTGCGTCACCCTGCTGACGCCCCGCTCCCTCCACTTTCCAGGAAGCTTTCCACTCCCAGACCGGGGCATTTCGCGAGTGAAGAAATCAGGAAAGGGGAGGCAGAACAAGTCACAGAAACCAAAGAGCACATAACGATTGGTATTCATTGGGCGCCAGAGGAATTCGTAGCAGAAGCGATTAGAGTGGGCCACCCAGCTTTGCTAGCTTCGAATTTTCCGGTAGAGATGATTGAAGCCAACAATTTTTGTGCCTCGAGGACTGACTATGAAGTGGCCAAGCACCGCACAGAAGTTGTGAAAAGATGGTTGAGCTTAGCCAATGATTTCAGCCAAGCCGAAGCAAAGAATAAAGACTCCTTGTCAACGCGTAGAAGACAAGTTTTGGAGAAGAAGAGGCTGCATCTTTTTGACCAGTTGATCCGTGAGGCAGGACACTCCGACGCCACGCTAGCAGAATGCATTCGCCATGGTTTCGACCTGACAGGAAAGCTGCCTAGGTCGAATTTCTTTGAAGAAAAATTCAGACCAGCTTCGTTGCCCTGCGAGACTCTGAGAAAATCTGCCGACCTAGCTCGAGAAGCCATGGTCCTCAGTTGCAAGTCGTCTGGAGACCCAGATCTTGATGCTGCACTTCACGAAGTCACTAGAAAGGAGGTAGCCAAAGGGTTCCTAGAGGGACCTGTTGACTTGACCTGCGTGCCATCTGGAGCCACTTTGACGAAAAGATTCCCAGTGAAACAAAAGAACAAAGTGCGCCCGATTGATGACTATAGAGCTTCTCTTGTAAACTCTTCTGTGACGCAGCCAGAGGGAGTGTCAGTGCACACTGTCGACCATGTGGCCGGACTGGTTGCCCATTGGTTCAGGTCACATCTGGAACACAATAAGGACTGCGCAGCGGTGGCAAAGACGTGGGACCTCCGCGACGCGTACAAACAAGTCCCTCTCTCTGACGTTGCCTTCGAGCTAGATTCGTATATAGTTGTCTTCAACCCGAAGTCCCAGCTAGCTGAAATCTACAAGCAGCGTGTCCTGCCCTTCGGATCCGTCGCGTCCGTGACCGCGTTCTTGCGGTGCTCATCCGCCGTCTGGATGATAGGGGCGAAGTTGTTGAAACTTGTCTGGAGCGCTTACTTCGACGACTTCTTGTCCCTGACCACGCCTGCGCTCTCCAGACATACCGACATTTGCATCTCTGTGATGTTTCAATTACTGGGATGGGAGACGTCAGTCGAGAAACTTGTACCCTTCAACACTTGTTGCAAGGTACTGGGAGTGCAGTTGGATCTTGGACAAAGTGTCTTCGGAAAAGCTTTAGTGTCCAACACGAAAGACCGAAGTGCCGAGCTCACAGACGAGATCGATAGCATCTTGGCTTGTGGACGCCTGAAGCGTCACGACGGTGAAAGGCTCCGAGGGCGCCTGCAGTTCGCGAGTGGACAGCTGTTCGGGAGAAAATTCAGACTCCTCCTTTCAGTCTTGAATAGGCATGTCTCAAGGGGCTGGACACAGATCAGTGACGATCTAAGACAAGCCCTCGTGAGCATTCGTTCGCGGTTGGTCTCTGGGTTGTCAAGGGTCATCGACAGCCGTTACAGCGACTTTGTGCACATTTACGTAGACGCATCCTTCTGCCCAGGCGGATATAGTGGTGTTGGTGGTGTGCTGTATGACAGCTCAGGGGATGCGCAGAATTTCTTCAGCTTCAGGGTGCCGGATGAGTGGCTTGCCTCCATGAGCAGCGAGGGAGCCAAAGTGGTCATTCAAGAGCTTGAAGGCTTTGCTGCCTTGTTGGCCTTGAGAGAATGGTTGCCGTCGTACCCTAACAGACGATTTGTGTTGTTCACTGACTCGGAGTCCATCAAAGGGTCTCTACTTAAGTGCGCGTCGGAGAACGCCGTGTGTCACAGGACAGTGTCTTGGATCCTTGATTGTCAGGAGAATGCGTCGTCTTCAGTATGGTACGAGCGAGTACCAAGTGAATCTAATCCAAGTGACAGGTTGTCGAGAGAAGAGGTCCTCTCGCTTGGGAGTGCTGTCCGAGTGGACTTCAATTTGCAGGAGTTGTGGGATGACGTTTTGCAGTCTTTGGTCAAGGGGTGAGTCGCAAGACTGAGTTGAACGCAGAAACCCCGTGGTCAAAAGATGAGAGTGCCATCAGCTGCTTTGTGTCATGTGAAACGTGAGACGAAACGTTGACGAGTTTTGCTTCTTGTCTCCACGATTTCTTTTGGGCTGACAGCTGTATAAATAAGAAACGTTTCCCGACAAAGAAGGGATAGTGCATTATTTTTACTAC